GAATTAGACAGGTATATTTCTACTGAAACACGCAATTTTTTCTTTTATCACATAAGTCTCTGTAAAAATAAGCTTCTGGAATCAAAGTTGAGCCTGGAACTGAAAATCCTTTAGGTCAATACAGGTAAGACAGTCCAATCTAACATGTCTGCAGACTAAAAGTATAAATAGAAAAATGAAACAAAATATATTTGAATAGAAACATACTTGTGACATTTCTGAACCCCATAGGAAAGGGAAAAATCTTAAAAATTTCAGAAAGAGAGAGAGAGAAATAATAAAAAAGAAACCCTAAAAAAGTGAAAATCAATTGACATTAGACATAACTGGAAGCCAGAAGAGCAATATCTTCAAAGTTCTGAGGGAAAATTACTGTAAACCAGCAGTTTTACACTTTTAGCAATTATCATTTAATTTTAGGTGTAAACTGTATTCTCAGGGCTCAAGGACTCTGGAAGGCTGCCATGCACCCTATCATTACATTTCCAGAGACGATGATTTGGGAAATCAGCAGTTAATTATATTTCAGGAAAAAAAAGCTAAGAAATCTGATGAGATAGTAATGCAAATATATTTTAGATTAATACTTTGAAAACTCTTCTTTAGGCAAAGATCCTAATGACATAAAATTTCTTTTCCTTCCTTATGAGTTCAGGTCCTTGATTCTAGAGTAACCTGTTTATAGAAACATAACATTGTAGATGCTGGGTTTTTTTTTCCTTGCTGAGGAAGATTAGCCCTGAGCTAAACTCTGTTGCCAATCTTCCTCTACTTTATATGTGGGTCACCACCACAGCATGGTTGATGAGTGGTGTAGGTCCACACCTGGGATCTGAACCCAGGAACCCAGGCTGCCAAAGCAAAGTGTGCTAAACTTAACCACTAGGCCATGGGCCCAGGCCCTGTAGATGCCATTTTTAAGAAGAGGTGAAGCTTATATTTGTGTACCTCAGAAGCCTGAGACTATCCAGCTTCTTCTGAGTCAAATAAGTTTATCTAATTTTGGGGTTCAGATTTTAGGAAACCCCTTTTTGGCCAAATACCTTAGTCATATTCTAACAGCTCTATTGGCCACAAAGCTGGCATTTTGATCTCTAATTTGTCGGAATCCTTTGTCTATCATCAAATAGATTCTAAACTTAGGCAAAAAACAGAGTTTTTATTTGTTGAGTCCTAAAATATCTGCATGTAGACTCTAGTGAAATTTGGGGAGTTAAAGAATATTCCGAAATAGAGGTTTTTGATGGGCCAGAGCAAGTAAGTTTTTGACCTTACAATAGCTTCCATTATGCCATGCAGTTACTTTTTGTAGCTATGTGGTTGGCTTTACTTGGCCATCCTGAGCAAGTAGCTTTAGGTTAGCTTAAAACATTGGCTGGAGAGCTAAAAAAGAGAAATAAGTTCTTGAAGATCAGGGTGACAAGTATGAAAGAGAAGAGGTGAACTTCTCAGGTCTAGTTGCTTGTAATGTGAGTTTTAGAAATGGGAAAGATGTTTAGTTCATGTTAAACCAGAAAAGATGCTTGGAGACCAATGAAATCAAAGGATGATGGATAAGATCTCAGAGAGTAGTGACACTCCAGAGGGAGCCCACACTGAGAAAACTACGGAGAATCACAATTTTAACATGTAGACAGATATTGAGAACAGGAAGTGCCTCAATCCTTAAAGATTAGGAGAGGTATACCATGAAGCTACAGAAAAACTGGTCAAATTTTGATGAGGAAGACCAGAAAAATTAATGCGAAGTATTCGAAGAATTACTAGATGAGTTTCAGTTTGACACAATTATTGTAGTTATCAAGTCTATGTAAACCTCCTGGAGAAATTTATGGAATTGAAGCTTTGAAGGAATGTACAGAAAGATAAGGCAAATTGAAGCAGTTGGCACAATAATAGATGGACTTGAGGCCTAGTTGCACTGATGGACAATAGCATCTGCGTGAAAATACCCAATGCAGAAAGGTAAAGGTCGACAAGATTTTCTGGAACAGTGGATGTTCTAGCAGATCCAGGATTCTTGATTTCCTTTTTCTCATCCTACGACAATAGCTGGAAATGTAAGCAAAACAAATGCTGCACCAGAAAGCAAAACAAAAGTGGAATAAATTAGGAAGACAGATCTAATAAGATGTTCTAATCTATGTAGTTTAATTTGCTGATGGTAAGCGTAGCTCAAATTAGACTTTTGTTTGAGATTGCCAACATTATAAATTTCTGAACTTCACAAGAATTTGGAAAGTCTTGAACGAACGCTGCTCTCTGAAACTATCTTCCCCATATGGTTTTAAAAAATATGTTGTAACTAACTTCTTTAGAGAAGGTTTCTCCCAGCTAAATTTAAATTCACAGATTGTCAACTGTAGATACCTGATATCTTAGTGAAGTTGAAAACAATATTTTTCTCCAGTTCTGTTTGTTCTCACAGAGAGCAACCGGTCTCTGATATGAATTCTGGGACAGGGAACGTAGGTCTAAGTTAAGTACATTGTACTAGAAACATCATTTTGGTCGGTCAGTGGATAGAATGTAGAAAACAACTAGCTGGAGACCACCGTCATTGCAACTATACATGTGCAACTTATAGTGTTCTACATTCTGAAAGAAGTTGCGCCGTTTTTGTTTTTGTTTATTTTTTCAATAAAATCTGCTTGAATTTTTTTTCCATCTTGAAAGAAGTCCAGTAACCATGAAATCTGAACACATAAAAGAGTATGATTCCTTGAAGCACTTAAAGAGGATATAATGTCTTTTAAAAAAAGAAAATTGGAATTGTTTAAATAAAATTTTAAATACTTTAAAAAATTCAAGAACTAGTAGTCAACGTTTAATAATAATTAATGATAAGATCTGATAGAAATAAAGTCTGAAACTATGTAATTTAAAAGTAATTTATCGTGTCTGTCTTATAAAACTCATTACATGAAAACACTTCACTTTTTGGCAACCTAGAAATCAAGACACAATATCATGCAAGCCCTGAATAAGTGGTAGTACTTATTTACTAAGTCTCGTGATTACTAATTGCATATTTTTGCTCCTAGAGTTCTTGCTATGGGATAGTCAACAATAAGAGAAATACTTCCATCCTTCCATTAGTTAACTCTATCTTGCCTTCTTGGATTCATTTTAACCCAAACACTATTACTCTATAGGAAAAAGTTGTACAGAGAAATGTTAGCCTTTATTGTATTATAGAATATTCTTAATATTAAAGACAAGTATTCTGTTTAATACATCTTAAAATTATTTTGCTGAAACATACTGCAAAATAAAACACGAAAGTCAAGCTTAGTAAGATCTTCACACTAAGTCGAAAACTAAAATCAGTTTTTGACTGTGAGTGTACTTAGGATCTGAAAAATAATCCACAAAATTAATATTAAATCATTCTAATAGTGTATAAAATTAATAATAGCTAACCTTTAACTTTAAATATATTACTTAAAAATCATTTTATAATTGAAATGTTTAACTTTGGTAACTGTTAAAAAGGACATTTAACTTGGTCCCATAAACAACGAATGAATTGTGTGATGCACTTCCACAATATCAACCTTGTACGCAGTGTGACAGCTGGTCAGATCGCCATTAGTTGTAAACATTTCATTGTGGGAAAAATGAGAATTAAGGCTTAAGGGAAATAAAAAAACTCCATTAACCAGGTTGCGTTTGATTGCTCTTATTCTTTTAGACTTGAAGTAATTTTAAATAAATAAAATTAAAAGTCCTTTAGATTTGAAATAAGTTTTAAAGAACCTAACAAAGAGAAAATTTTTAGAAGATTTTTCCCAATAAATAACCATACAATTGAATATAACATTCCTTAATAAGAATATATAAAATTAAGAGATTTCCAAGAGATTATGATAGTATTCAATTATATTTTTGAGTGACCAATAACGAAAGAAGAAATATTTACCAGCCTTGAACGTGACTCCACATTTAATTCTATTCAAGAAATAATGCTCCTAAGGCCACTTCCTTTTTCAGCACAGTATTTCCACTAAATTTGGATATATCAAAATGTAATAAGTAGAAAATTCCTGAGATAGTTAGGCTAGTGAGCTCTTCTATAACTTGTAAGTATATATTTCCTCCTTATTAGTAAACTTCTGCAAAGCAGGTGAGAAGGCAAAATATGATGTAAATTGATTAGACTGAATACTTTTAACCATGTGAGAATATCTGTTACCAAAATGCTGACCAGAGCAGTGACCATTCTTTCATAGGAAAGAAGGTAAACATGAAAATTATAATCATACTGTAATAAATATTTGAGAAGGAGGAAAAGGAGTAGTTGACCAGTAGATTCTGGAATAAAGAGAAATTCTTTGGCTTTAAAGAACATATGCTAAAGGTGCTACTTCATCACTAAAAACGTTACTACGTACTTTAAAAATATGTTATTTATGGCCCCTCTTGCTTTCTAACAGCTGCTAAGACTCAACATTTGCCAATTTTGCAAGTCATTTAAATGCTGCATATTATATGTGAATGAAACGATACATTATCAGTTTCCTGACAGATGCAAAACAATCTGCCGGCAGTCTAAAATAAGTTTCTATTCAATCAGTCCGAGAAATGTTCTCCTTTTAAATACTCCATTTTAAGAGGAGAGGCTTTAACTGTCATGAGAGGAAACACGAAGTTGGATGGTGTACACTCTCATTTTCTCATCCCAATTCAGTATGGACTTTAACATCAAAGAAAATACTACATTATTGGTAAGGCTACATTTAAGTATTTTAAATATACTTGAGTTTTGGTCTCTTAGAGAAAATTCTTACTTCTACTACAGGCCAAAGATTTATATAGTCATTTCCAATTGTAGCCCATTAGAACCAGGAAACTCGAGCACAGAATGCTCTCGGGAACACCAGGACAATATTGCCTCAGTCTGCTGTTTTGTTTCCAACTGCTCTCTTTTTAATTCCCCACAAACAATGATAAAGAGTAAATAAAAGTTAGAAAAAGGAGGAAAAAATCTCCAAACCTACTTTTTCTTCAGTCTTCTATCCTTCTCAGCTTGAGTTCCAAGTTTGCCTAAGCCCAGGGACTCCTGAGCGGCAGCTTCAGTCTCCATGAAGCCTCCTGTGAAGAAGGAACTATTCTATTAGGTTGGATACATTGTATCAGTTCTGAAATTAAGTTCTTAAATGCTTATTTGAGCAACTGTTTAGTAGCACATTTTCTTCTCTTTTTTTCAATTGTCTTTATATTTCCAACCCAACATGCATAAAAAGACATGGGTACATACATAGGCACTGAGAGAATGAAAAGAAAAAAAAGGTACCTATTGATATACCATTCAATCACATCTAGCAGCAACATAACACATGTGGCCTGTGCGGTGACAAGTAGTTGAATATAAAATCTGCAAGCCTTGAGGTCTATTTTTAAATTTTTCTTATGGAAAATAACAGCAAATATCTATGTAGTGTGTGATTTATTTTCAACATGAAACATTTGAAATATATCATATAGAATGGGATAAACAACAGCCCAAAGAGTAGAAACTCAGGGAGATATTTGTCTCCAATTCCAAGTTGAGAGAATGGAGAGGCATTTGCTGACTTCTAAAACATTTTCCTATCTGGGTTCTGGAACCCTCTTCTGCTCACCTGACTGACTCCGAAATCCTTCAGTGTAGACCTTACTTCCAAAACTCTGCATATTCTGGCAGATTTGTTTTGTAAATTTCATAATAATACCTGGAAAAAACTCTAAGTCTTTCTTGAAAAGACCCTGGCAAGAATTGTTTTTATTCAGTTTTATTGGCTTGGGAATATATACAATGTATATCGCCTTGGAATGAAAGGAGGAAGAAAGAAAAGTATGTTGGGCATCAAACAAAGAATTAGACCTTTTATAGTGGGATCATCTAATTCAAGATCCCTAAACATATAATTAATTCATAAATTATCTGTTGTAGTTGAAAAATGAGAACTTAATCCCGGGATCTGTTTTCTCTTTGGCATTTACTATATGTAAAAAACATGAAGTCAAAGTTAATGAAAAATACCCACTATTTTTAACAGGGTTAAGGGATATTTTTCAATGGAAGGGATTTCAACTCCAGTTAAGCTTAAGATAGGTAGAAAGACTTAAGCTAATACTAAGTCTTACAGAGACTACACACGAAATTTCACCAATATATCAGTAAATATATATTACTGAACTATCAGACAATTTTTACTCTTCTGTTATCGTAATGGACATTTCCTTACTTAACATTTGCAGGTCTTGACCAGGTTATGGTTTCTCTATCAGAACGAAATATCTTATCAAAGCACAAGAGACAAATTTTGTTACTGTTTTTCATAATTTATTTTGGAAAAAAATTATAATACTTGACATTATTAATTCTGGAGCATTGATATAAATAAGTTAAACTCATAGCCTCAAAACTCTGCTACTGAACTGGATAATGATAAGAAAGTCCTCTTTGTTGAAAACATGTTGATTGCTATCTATCTAGATCTTATTCAGAGATTCAGAGTTTGGGGACTGAAATTTACTTTATTCAGTTATGCACATGTGAAATTAATACATAAAGAAATTTTTAATTATGACAGATTGTCATTGTTCATGTCATTATAAAAGTTATCCACTAGCTGAGTAAAGTACTCTTGGGGATCATTTTTAAATGTGGGATTTTCCGTTATGCACAGTGAGTGAATATTTTCATTTTATTTTTCTCATCAGTATACTTGTCTTCCTGTACATCCATAAATCATTATTCACAACCTGAAATTAACAATAAAATTGTTCTGTTAAAGTGTAAATGGAAATGAATGATTCACTTAAAAGTTACAAAATTCTTGATCAGCCCAGATGAGAACAGAGAGATTAATGAGGTAGACACATTGGATAAAGAATGAGACATTGCCAACCACCACTTGGTTGGGTGAATCAGGCTTTTTATTCTTCTGAACAAAGAAGAATATCTAAATTATGATTTAAATTTTTTCAAGAATCCAATATTTTAATTAGAGAAAAAGAACAGTTTTTTCAAAAATGAAAGCTCTGGAAGAGAAACAAAGAAATCACTAGAAGAATTTTGTGAGTCAAAACTACACCCAGAAAAAACAATTTGCTTCTCATTAGTTAAATTATAAAAATAAAAAGCATGAGGACCTTGGAAATACTTGAGTACTTCAAAATCAAATAGCCTTTGAATAGAGGATTTAATAAAGAATTGTGGCCATATTCTGTTTGAAAATACCAATAGAAAATAACACTGGGGCTGGCCTCATGGCATAATGGTTAAGTTCGGTGAGCTTCGCTTTGGAGGCCCAAGTTCACAGGTTCAGATCCAGGACGTGGACATACGCCACTCACCAGCCATGCTGTGGTGGTGAGCTACATATAAAGTGGAGGAAGATAGGCATAGATGCTAGCTCAGGGCTAATCTTCCTCAGCAAAAATAAAAGAAAAGAACACTTATGGCCATAGTAGGTAAAATTATTTTTAAGCATCACATGTAGGAAAATACCCTTAAGCAGGATCAAAAGTCCAATTATGTGCATTTTTTCAGCTCTAACAATTAAAACATTTCTAGATGAGAAGAACGTTCTTTCATACAATTGATCCAGCTGCCGCAGAAATCCCAGGTTCATCTTTCCACATACCTGTTAACCAGTTAATTGGTGAGAGTAATCTCAGCCAAACCCGTTTGTGAGCTCTTTTACCCTGGATGGTTATCTAAGTCTGGTGAGAGCATGCCCCATGGTTTTCCAGGCATCAGGGGGCTCCTAGGTCCGTGTGGACTTTAGGAGTATTTATTCATCTATACCAATATTTTATTCTCTAGTCACATGTGGCTATTGAGCACTTGAAATGTGCTGTCTAAATTAAGTGTTATAAGCACAAAATATGCATAGGATTTTGAAATCTTAGTACAAAAAACAATATAAGATATCTAATTAATAATTTTATATGGATTACATGTTGACATGATAATGTTTTTAGATCAGTTTAAATAAAATAAATTATTAAAATTAATCTCACCTGTCTCTTTTTACTTTTCTTAATGTGACTACTAGAAAATTAAAAATTACATATGTGACTCACATCATATTTTTGTGGGGCAGTGCTATATACTAGTGGTTCTCAACTGGAGAAAGTACCTATTCCCAGAGGGAACGTAAATATTTGTGTATTTACTGGAGGGAGGGGAGCACATTTTTAGATGACAATGACTGTGAAGTGCAACTGATATTTACTAGGGGACAAGAATTCTAAACATCCCTTGATGAGTAGAGAACCCTGTAGTTCCCCCCGACTTTTTTTTGCTGAAGAAGATTTGCCCTGAGTTAACATCCACTGCCAATCTTCCTCTTTTTGTATGTGAGCCACCGCCAAAGCATGGCCAGTGACCGACAAGTGCTGTAGATCTGCACTCAGGAACTGAACCTGGGCTGCCGAAGTAGAGTGTGCTGAACTTAACCACTAGGCCACCGTGGCTGGCCCTAGTTTGTCCGTCTTAAAATTGAAAGAGTGCCTCTGATGAGAAACACAGGCCTGTGAAAGCTGGGGGTTACTAGCTCTCCAGCAGCTCCATTAGGAATGTGGACAGAGCATCACTAACTCCACCCATCTCATGGTATAAGGTGCTCAGGCACAGAAGGCTTGAGTCCCATGATTCCGTGGATGCTCAGGTAAGAAACTGCTTATCCCCTTATCAGTGGCCCTCTAGCGGTTGCACTTGCAAAAGCCCGTGCTAAAATCCCTGCTCTCAGTGAAGTTCTGGGCTATTTATCACTCAGGCACACACACTTTTGTGAGGTCATCGAGGACTTGGAAGTGTTGAGACAGGACCACTCCTACGGTCTGCGGGTCCCAGTCAAGCATTTTCTTTCCCATCCCCTTTTTATACAAACATTTTGAGTAACCCCAAATCAACGGGGCAACAATCTAGTGGTTTCATCCCACAGGAGGAGAAAGTGATTCACTTGTCAGAGCACTCTCCTGGAACTGGGGTCAGGCCACTGGCCCAGAACTCCATAAGTGCGAGTTTCTGGGCTCCCCAGGGTATCTGGTCGACCCCAGGGAAGGCAATAGAGAGTCAGGGAACATGCTGAAGAGGAGAAACAGGGACCCAGGTCCACACAGTTTGGTTGGATAAGGTACCCTGCCTAGATAGCACTCCCTCCCTGGCTGGTCCTAGGGTCTGAAAAATAAGAGAAAATTCAATGCTTCTAGCAATTGGACCCACACAGGTCAAGGTCTCGGCTGAGGGTGCCCTGCCCAGATGGCACTGCCAGCCCTAGCTTCCCCAAGGCACCAGAGGGAAGGTCTTAGAGCATTTCAAGGAAAGTACAGCAAAGTGTGAGGCTTACTAAGATCCAGGCTGAGGAGCTTAAGGAATCCTCATGTGCCCAGACCTATGTGGGGTACTGAGTAGAGATATCCGTTCATTTAGATTGTGAAGGCAATTATCTCTGTTTTGCCTGGGGTTTAGATTCCATTCAGAATAATTTATTTCATGTTGGCCCTTGACGTACAAGTCTGTAGGAATTTCTGGCCAAAACCCACATTGCAAAGTCTCTGCCTCTCCATTTGTCCAGCAGAGGGCTCTGTCATTGTACAAAAAGGAAGCTCTTACTCCAGAGAGATCAAGACTGTAATCTGCTGCTGATAGCAGCTTCGTCTTTCTTTCATTTGACCTCCCTTCAGTATTAATCCATACCACTCATTTCGTATGCAAACACGCTTCAATTTATAAACAGTTACTGAGTGGTTTCATGTCTGTTAGTCTGTTAGATCTCTGCAGGCTGTCCCCAGGTGCAGTGCCTGGCTCACAAAGAGTGTGAAATAAATGCATTCACAAGGGAAGCTAAATACTGCTTTCTTCAAAGAAAGGCCCTTTCACCATGAAGAGCGTGCGTCATCTCTAATTGACAATTTGTGGAATTTATATCTGTTGGTCCCATAAGATCCAGGAACAATCTAAGTTTTTGAGTAAAGGCCAGCACAGCCACTCAAATTTTATGTGTGAAAAGGTGCTTGCTAAACAATGCTGGTGCAATGTTGATGCTGTTTTTTGTCACTGTGAAATTGTTTTCTTCATTATGCTGATTATAGTAGGT